AGAGAAAGAGTGGATTTGTTAGCAAACAACTATTCATTACTTCAATGAGCTCATTGTTTCTGCATCTGTATATGTATTTCTGAGATACATAACTTAGACAGTTTCTTCTGATAACAGATCGCTCTTAATTAAAATGTGGACTGTTATGTAAAGCCACTTTGAAATTTGAAGTAAAAAAAGTGAATTGATTTCAAAATGTGAGTGTCAGCAACAATAGTGATGAACTGAAGTCGCTTCAGACAAAAAGCATCTGGTAAATGCATAAATGCAGCTGTTAAACTGAAACTGTTCATTTTGATTATCACAGACTTCATTGCTAGTACAACTTATAAGTACTTAAACGTTTCAAATCCATGCCAGTATTTGTCAAATCTGAGCCTAGCTAACAGATGAGTTTGTTTAACGCTTCGTAACTCTGTTAGCAGAAACTGCAAGCTCAGTCGTATAAAGCCAGTGGCCATCTGCACACCACCAATCAAACATTTATCAATATAGTTTTTCCAAGAACAAACCGCTGTGCTCGGCATTTCACAACTAATTACCTTCTCTGCGGAGAAAGCGTTAGACTTATCGGGGTCGACGCAGGTCTGGATTAACCGTGTGTGAAGTGTGTTTGTGTGTGGTCTTTGAGGAAGGGGAAAACCTCTCTCGGGTTCCCGTCTTAAGCAAACAGGAGTGCCGGAGCTATTAATTACAGCACCTGTGGCGTTATTACGAGGGAACTTCATTTCGCAGTCTCCTCGAAGCTGCAACACACGAGATGTTCTGCGTTTGAGGCTTGAGAGCGGATCCATCTCATTAAAAATTGTACGCTTGCAGCCAAACATACAGGCAGCCTTTGAATACATTGTACCGTATGTACTCATTGGGTTTTTATTCTCGTTTTTCATAAAGTCGAGCTCAGAAAGAAGGGAATGAAAATAAAGTACCGCTGGGACGAGTAGAGGAGAGCTTGGCAGGGAGAAGTGGAGTCTGGCTCCAGTTCGCTTTGAAACAATAGAATCCGCAACGATGGAGAAACCAATACAGGCGTACGAATATTCCCAGAATATCTTCCAAAGCAGCTTTTGACATAATGAAACATTTGGCAACACAAAACCGGGGAAAATAGTCTTTTATTCACATGCATCAAATGAAATTGCAATCTGTTTGCTTTTGATTTGCTGTGCTGGAGCTCACAGCTTGATTTCACATTATGGCTTATCCTGCTTTGATGCTGGTTGACCTAGGAAGTTATTCTGGTTAAACGACTTAGGAATTACAGCCGCTCTGGTGTTATCGGTTAAACTGGGTGGAGGCTGTGTTATCGGTTAAACTGGGTGGAGGCTGTGTTATCGGTTAAACTAGTTACAATCTTTTGTTGGAAGCTGTGCTATCGGTTAAACTGGGTGGAAGCTGTGTTATCGGTTAAACTGGTTAAGATATTTGGTCGGAAGCTGTGTTATCGGTTAAACTGGGTGGAAGCAGTGTTATCGGTTTAACTGGTTAAGATATTTGGTCGGAAGCTGTGTTATCGGTTAAACTGGTTAAGATATTTGGTCGGAAGCTGTGTTATCGGTTAAACTGGGTGGAGGCTGTGTTATCGGTTAAACTAGTTAAAATCTTTTGTTGAAAGCTGTGTTATTGGTTAAGCTGGGTGGAAGCAGTGTTATCGGTTAAACTAGTTGAGGACCTTGGTCAGTAGTAGTGTTATCAGTTAAACTGGGTGGTAGCTGTGTTATCGGTTAAAATAGTTGAGGACTTTGGTTGGAAGCTGTGTTATCGGTTAAACTGGGTGGAGGCTGTGCTATCGGTTAAACTAGTTACCATCTTTTGTTGGAAGCTGTGTTATCGGTTAAACTGGGTGGAAGCTGTGTTATCGGTTAAACTAGTTGAGGACTTTGGTTGGAAGCTGTGTTATCGGTTAAACTGGGTGGAAGCTGTGTTATCGGTTAAAATAGTTGAGGACTTTTGTTGGAAGCTGTGTTATCTGTTAAACTGAGTGGAAGCTGTGTTATCGGTTAAACTAGTTGAGGACTTTGGTTGGAAGCTGTGTTATCGGTTAAACTGGGTGGAAGCTGTGTTATCGGTTAAAATAGTTGAGGACTTTTGTTGGAAGCTGTGTTATCGGTTAAACTGGGTGGAGGCTGTGCTATCGGTTAAACTAGTTACCATCTTTTGTTGGAAGCTGTGTTATCGGTTAAACTGGGTGGAAGCTGTGTTATCGGTTAAACTAGTTAACATCTTTTGTTGGAAGCTGTGTTATCTGTTAAACTGGGTGGAAGCTGTGTTATCGGTTAAACTAGTTGAGAACTTTGGTCAGTAGTAGTGTTATCAGTTAAACTGGGTGGAGGCTGTGTTATCGGTTAAACTAGTTACAATCTTTTGTTGGAAGTAGGGCTGTCGCGGTTATGGAATTTCCCTTGCGGTAATATTGAGTGGTTCAATAGCGCGATATGCGGTATTACCGCCATTTATTTATTTAATTTATATGTTTTTGTTGCTATATAAATAAAGTTTACGATGTGGACAAAAACAAGGACATTGTCAGTAACCACTGTAACCGAAACTAAACAGCGTCTACAGTATATGCGCATTGAAAGACTTTCACTCAGCGTGCATATTGTTATGACAACGGACTTTGAGCGAGTCATTGAACCGTTCATTCAACAAACACGTTTAAAAAAGCTGATTCATTAAAAGAGATGTAATGAAACAAGATGTTAATTATTTTTAACTTTGAGATTCAACTTTTCAAGGCTCAGCTGAGCAGTAATGCGTCACATGGGCAACGCTGAAGCGGATGCTTCACTTATTAGAGACCCATTGATTCAATGCGTGACTCACTGATTTTATTTCGGCTTCCTTGTGCTGTGGGATGCTGACCAGCGCTGCTGCTGACGCGCATTTATGGGAAAATACCTGTGAAGAGAACGTTAAAATGATGATGCAACAAATATTTCGCTTCCCTTTGACACGACAAGCTTTTCACGACTTTAAAGACAGACGCAGGTAATTGAACGCGCTCTGCCGATCTCTCTCATTCACTGTCTGTGTGAAGCCTGTAGGCTACACATCACCATGATAAACAGTCTTGTTATCATTATGAACTCGTTTAACATTCAATACACATGCATTAAGTTCAAAACAAGAAGGCTATAGCCTTATAAAAAAATAAAAAAAATAAAAAGTGAATATCGCGGTTGCTGCGGTTATGTGCAATCCTCTGCGGTTGACTTGTCAGAAGCGCGGTACTACAATATTGCGGTTACCGCGACAGCCCTAGTTGGAAGTAGTATTATTGGTTAAACTGGTTAAGATCTTTTGTTGGAAGCGGTGTTATTGGTTAAACTGGTTAAGATCTTTTGTTGGAAGCAGTGTTATTGGTTAAACTGGTTAAGATCTTTTGTTGGAAGCGGTGTTATTGGTTAAACTGGTTAAGATCTTTTGTTGGAAGCGGTGTTATTGGTTAAACTGGTTGAGAACTTTGTTTGGAAGCAGTGTTATTGGTTAAACTGGTGAAGATCTTTGGTTGGAAGCAGTGTTATCAGTTAAACTAGTTAAGAACTTTGGTTGGAAGCTGAGTTATCGTTTAAACTAATTGGAAGCAGTGTTATCAGTTAAACTAGTTAAGAACTTTGGTTGGAAGCTGAGTTATCGTTTAAACTAATTGGAAGCAGTGTTATCAGTTAAACTAGTGAAGAACTTTGGCTAGAAGTACTGTTATCGGTTAAACTAATTGGAAGCTGTGTTATCGGTTAAACTGGTTGAGGACTTTGGTCGAAAGTAGTGTTATCGGTTAAACTAGTAAAGAACTTTGGTTGGAAGTGTTGTTATCGGTTAAACTAATTGGAAGCTGTGTTATCGCTGTGTTAAACTAGTTAAGGACGTTTGTTGGAAGCGGTGTTATTGGTTAAACTGGTTGAGAACTTTGTTTGGAAGCGGTGTTATTGGTTAAGATCTTTGGTTGGAAGCAGTGTTATCGGTGAAACTAGTTAAGAACTTTGGTTGGAAGTGGTGTTATGGGTTAAACTAGTTGGAAGCGGTGTTATCGTGGATTGTGTTAACATAGAACTTGGCAGAGTGTAGCGGATTCTGGCACCAGTTTGCTTTGAAACAATAGAATCTGCAAGGATAGAGAAACCAATACAGATGAGCGAATATTCCCAGAATATCTTTTTACATAATGAAACACCCTGGCAACACAAAACTGGGAAAATAGACTTTTATTTACGTGCAATCTGTTTGCCTGAGTGTCCTGATGATGGTGTGTTTTTTGGGACAGGAATATCAGTTTGTCTGACCAGTGTCAGACTGGGTCATTATTTATGATGCAGTTGGTACATGCTTTTATCCAAAACATTTAATTGTGCATTCAATGTACATTTGTCCACACATTCCCTACGACCTTGATTCAATTCTTGGCACAATGCTCTAGCAGGCTGCCACTTCTGTTTAGTGCTGCTAAAGGTGCAGAAATAAAACACAGCAGCTTTAAGTGCTTGTAAGCATGTTACTATATCATTACTAGGGTATTCTGGGTGGTTGCTAGGGCATTGATATGCGGTTGATGGGGATATCATATTGCTACAGTATATTGTTGTTTTGAATACTTACAACACATTATTTGTTGCTGTTTCATTGATAGGATGGTCTGGGTGGTTGCTAGGGTGTTAGCGTGTTGCTATATCATTGATAGGGTGGTCTGGGTGGTTGCTAGGGTGTTAACGGATTGCTATATCATTGATAGGGTGGTCTGAGTGGTTGCTAGGGTGTTAACGTGTTGCTATATCATTGATTGGATCATCTGGTTGGTTGCTAGGGTGTTAACGTGTGTTGCTATATCATTGACAGGGTCATCTGGGTGGTTGCTAGTGTTGCTATATCACTGATAGGGTCGTCTGGGTGGTTGCTAGGGTGTTAACATTTTGCTATATCATTGATAGGGTGGTTGCTAGGGTGTTAATGTGTTGCTCTATCATTGTTAGAATAAGCAAATCTAATAAAACATTTCCCAACAGGTTTCCCAACACAAGTCCAGACATTTGGAAAGCACAAGCATGTGTCTCTGCTCTCTGACTAAACAAACCATTTTCAAGGTAAGCATCTTCCAGTTATTAAGAGCATGTATTCTCAGTGTGCTTCTATAAGGCGCTTTATGGACTTATAACTCATTTTCCTTTCATAAGCAACAGCGTCGAGGGGTCTCGTATCTCTGCACACACAGAGACTGTGATTACAGTAAGTCGACGTGAGGCTGACAAACGCTTGACTGTGACCAGAGAAATCATTCCAGCAGGGAGTCAACTTAATCACACCACCTGATGGATTCTGGGAATGTCGGGCTCTTGTAGCTCACAGACATTTTAATATCGATCCGTGCAATTGAATGTAATCCATCTGTACTCTCATATTCATCTCTGGGGGGCATGCGAGGAATTAAACGCTGAAAGTGTTCATCAGTTTTGGTGAGAATACAGAGAGGTGCTTTGGGACGCTCTCTACCGCAGTCGATCAATAATTCCACAGAGGAGAGAAATACAATGCGTGCGGCTCTATAAACGCTGTTTTTATTTTCAGAGACTGTTTAAAACCTTGAAGGACATGGAGCACTTCATGTTGCACAAATATGAATCTAGACTATCATAATAAAGACATTTTTCAGTATGCACAAAGGCTCCAAACGCCTCCTGAACTTTATCACACTGCAGATTTTTTTAATTGTGCAGCTGAGAGACGCCGTGCTTGAATGAACCTAATTGGCTGGGCTTTGTATTAGTTTGTCGTATCATAATGAAACAGGAAGTGCTGAAGTCCCAATAATTCATAAAGCGAAATGACATACGACGTCTAAACGCACACACTTTCAGTAACTGCCGGGCAATTATTGGAAGAGCAACAGTAAACACTATAAAATAAGCACAACGTAAAACTGGAAATATGAAGTGACTGGTTGATTCGCTGTTTCAGCAGCAAAAACACCAGCAGGGCACAATCTCTATGTCAGCATATCATGCTCTATTCTTTTGGCAAGATACCTGTGACAACCTGCGAAGAGCTACTAGAAATCATACTGCAAGCTAAATACTCATTCATATACATTTATATTGATTTATATTTGATTGACAGCCTGCATTTAGAGTCTATAGAGAACATTTATGTGCAGTGACATGAAACTAATTTTACCTTTATTTTGACTGAATAACAAAATGCATATGCACTGTAAAAAATATTGTTGGTTTAGCTTAAAAAGTGAAGTAACCTGGTTGCCTTAAAATTTTAAGTTCATTGAAATTCACAAGAAACTCAAAATATTATGTTATGTGAACGTGAACGACATAAATAATTCAAGTTGATTTGACAAAAGAAACAAATGTTGTGATTACAAATCATGAAAATATTTTTTACAGCTCAGTACATATTATCTGTTTAACATTTAACTATAAAGTCATTCATTCTAATGAAAAATATTATATATACATAGATATACTATATTTAAATCATTAAAATATTAAATAAATACTTTTAATAAACATGAATATATGTAAATATATAAACAATTACTATATATATATAATCCAACTATTTAAGTCATTAAAATATTTTTTTAACGTTTGTTTAAATAATTAAAATATTCTTATTAAAATAATATTTATAAAAAAATCCAACTATTTAAGTAATTGAAACTAATTAATTTTCATTAAGAAATATTTTCAGTGTATTTGTGAATGTTAAGTCAAATGATGCATCTCGCACTGTGATTGGTTAGTTTGCCTTGACTCCCTGATTGGTCGAGTCTTTTATTTATCTAATAGAACAGGTAAATGAATAGAATTAGACAAATATCATCTCCTCAGGCATCATCTCGTGTGGATAGTGTGATTACATGTTGAAGCGTTTAACCAGCCGCTGTATCAAAGGTGAATGACATTGTGGATGAACATGTGAAGGCCGAGATTGATTTGAGTTTCTCACCTGTACAGGAGTAATCATCGATACGGATGAATCCGGTGAGGCAGATGCACATGAAGGAGCCGGCGGTGTTCACACACTGTGTGTTCTCGCGGCAGTAGTGCCTCCCCTCCACACACTCGTCGATATCTGCACAAACACAGCAGATCAGCAGAGAGTCAAGACTTCAGCATGATCGAAACGCTGCTCGCTTGAAGCCGCCAGTCAAACACGTTTACCATGATGGGGCCCAGATATCAAATATTTACCAGATATTCAATATTTGCCAAGGCAAGTGTATTTATATATCACATTTCAAACACAACTGTAATTCAAAGAGCTTTACATAAAACGGATTTTTTAAAGAATCATAAAAGATGCATGAGAAATTAAACTTTATTTTGAACAAATAAATGCATCAAATTGTAAAAAAAAATAATCATAAAGGATGCATAACAAATAAAAAATACATTTTTATCAAATATAAGAAAATTCAAAGCATTTTGAATAAAATTGTATTTAAAAATAATCATAAAAGTTGCATAAGAAATGAAAAGTAAGAAATTAAGATTGAATTAAAATTATTAAAAATAAATAAAATAAATTACATACAAGTGGAAAATACAATTATTTCAAATAATCAAAAGAAATAAAATTAACGACAAAAAGAAAAAAAATATTAAATATTAATATGAAAATGTAATACAAATAAATACATGAAATGATCATTCAAAGTGCTTTACAGAAAAACTACCTTAAAAATAATCATAAAAGATCCATCAAAATAACAATAAAAGGTAGAAATAAAAATTGATTCAATAAAATGTATTAAAAACAACTGAATAGAAAAGAACACACTGATTTTTACTCAGAAGTTGCAAGTAAATTTCACAAATAATTACAAGAAATGGATTAAATTAAGTGTGAAATGTTAAATTACAGTACTGTATTTTATTGTAAAACGCTTTTGTATTTAAAACTTAAAATTATTCTAACAGTGTACATAAAATGATCCAGTGCATATTTGGAATATTTGCAGAAGCAAAGATTTGAATCCACTTTCACACTTGTGACTTGTATTAACCTTTTATAAATAATAACGTCTCTGAATTTAAAATGCTTAAAGATTTGAATCATTTCTGTGAATCAGTTGTTTTGATTCCATCAATTGTTTGATTCGGTGAATCAGTTCGATTAGTTTGCCTTAAAACTATAAATGTGCAACATGGACGTTAGTTTTAACAAGATTTTTTAAGTTTTTTTTTTTAAGTTTAACTCGTTGCATTAAACACATCTATCTGGCAACATTGGCTGCTTATTTATGCTTTCATTTATTCATCAAGTTAACAACCACCATTCTTTAAATTAAAATTACTGAAAGATGTGCAAAAATCAAGGACTTTCCTCTTGGATTCAAGAGTCTGTATTATGAATTCTGTGACTTTTTAAAAGGCATTATGCGCCACTAGATGAAATCCTTGACATTTCTGGGAAAAGTTTGGAGGAAACAGAGGGCAGAGTGATCGCCCTACTCATGTGTCATGACTCCTTGAATTTATCGCAGCCAGATCAAATAAAAGGTATTAAATCAAATCTCATAGACTTACAGATCTAATAAAAAGCCTTATGAATTTTCACCAGCCGAACTGCTGCATTTGTGATGAATTCAAAATGGCTTTATGGCTCAGGACTTCAAATGAAACTTTAACCCGATTTACTTCGAACTCGCGTCCTTCGGCATAACCTCAGCTGCTTCTCTTCTGTAACTCGTTTAGTTAAAGAGCCTCTTCTGTTATTTCGAGGAATAACCAGGAATTATCATCCCACAGTAATGAAAGAACTCGCATCCAATGCCTACAGAACACACTCCTGAATCAAACAACCTTTACTCAACTCTAACTGTTATAGTTAGTCTATTTATTTAGGCTATGTTTACACGGAAACGATTCTGAAGAGAAAACGTTAGCGTTTTCACTTTTTATTCAGCGTTTAGACGAGCGTTTTAGGTGGGAAATCCGCGTAATGCAAAAGTGTGTGATATTCAATGTAGTATGCACTCCAGGCGGCTAGGTGGCAATGTGGAGCACTGCCACACAACAACACCAAGTCCGCACGCCTGCGTACAACCTTCACTGTCAAGCAGACTTTTGCGTTTTTACCGTTTACACGGGAACGCGGCGGTGGAACGTTTTTAAGATTTCCACTCTGGAGGGTTGTTTAACTTTTTTGCGTTTTTAAGCCCCAAAAACGCCGTCGCCGTGTAAACGAAAGGCACATCCGTTAAAATAATTTTACGTTTTCACCCGCGAGCGTTCTCGTGTAAACAGGGCCTTAATTTAACTGAAACTAAAACCTTGAAACATAACCATTAAAAAATAAAATAAACATTAACTCAAATAAAACAAAATATTAAAATAAACGAAAATATTTTATTTCAGCTAATTCCCAAAGTTAAAGTTAGTTTTAGTTGCTACTTTTCTTTTAGTTTAAGTTTTTCAACTAAAATTTACATTGGTACTTTCCTGTTATCCGGACCCTACCATATACCATTTAGGAACTATAGTCATCCCTGATTGGTCTTAACCCCAGTGACGGGTAGGTTTAGGGGCGGGGTCAGGGGTAGGCCATCGTGGGGTCCGGATCCCACCATTTACCATTTAGGAACTAAAGTCATCCCTGATTGGTCTTAACCCCAGTGACAGGTAGGTTTAGGGGCGGGGTCAGGGGTAGGCCATCGTCCCTGATTGGTCTTAACCCCAGTGACGGGTAGGTTTAGGGGCGGGGTCAGGGGTAGGCCATCGTGGGGTCCGGATCCCACCATTTACCATTTAGGAACTAAAGTCATCCCTGATTGGTCTTAACCCCAGTGATGGATAGGTTTAGGGGCGGGGTTAGGGGTAGGCCATCGTCCCTGATTGGTCTTAACCCCAGTGACGGGTAGGTTTAGGGGCGGGGTTAGGGGTAGGCCATCGTGGGGTCCGGATAACAGGAAAGTACCTTTACATTTTATTTTATTTCAGAATCATTTCATCTAACATAAGTTTTTATTTTAAGTTATGTTTTTAAGTTTAAATTTGGACTTTTTTGGGGCGCGTCGAAAGAACACCGCAGACACAGTACAGTCCACATGGGAAACAATCAGCTGTAAAAAATATAATACACCAGTGTTTTGCCAGATGAGAAGTTTACCTATGTATTATCTTTTTAATCATTTATTTCCTTTTATACCTGTATCATATATCTGTTTTAATTTTCCTTGCCTTAATTTTGTGGTTATCTTAAGTCATCTCTGATTCAAACCACTTTGAATCGCAATAGTGTATGAAATGTGCTATATATATATAAACTCGCCTTGCCTTAAAAGGTCGTAATTCATAATCATGACAAGTTGAAATTATGACAAAAGGTCAATTTCTACTCTTTCACTCACAATTTTGATTATTTAAATCTCATAATTATGACATACAGAAAGAAGTCAAAAAAAATAATAATTCAATGGTCTATAGAGTGTCTTCACTCCTGATTTCCTCTTCATCACATTAGCATTGGAGGAGCCTAGGTTGAATGTGCCATCGTTTGTGTGAGAGATAATGAAATAGGACAAAAAAAACCCAAAAAAGATGGATTTCCTTCTGTGTTCTCCACAGCGAAGGGAA